TTTGGGGGAGCTGTTGAGTCTTGTGTGTGCACCTTGTGGCCAGCACATGGAGAGAGTGGGCTCAATACAAGGGATCTAAAAATGCCTTTTTCTAAAGACAAAGCATTGTGTAAAATTAAATACAGTTCTTGTATCTCTCAGTTTAATGAAACATTTTCTCCCTTGAATGGATTACTTTTAAATCCTGTTCAGTAAATACTACACAGATGGTGATAAGGAATTGCTTAAGTGTATGGGATGTTCTTATGTAACTTCAGTCTTGAAAACAACATAAATCCTTTGTTTTCTCATTCTCCCAGGTGATTGAGTGGGTTTTGGAGAAGAGTGGCAAGTAGAGGTGCTGTGTGGATGCTACTCACACCATCCTAGAAAGTGCAGAGATGGAGCATGCCCATCTGTGAGAAAGGCATTAAACTGCTTCACACACACACGTACCTACACACCATGAGGACTTTGGTCAGAGTACTTACAGAGGAACAATAGCAAGTTTTGAAAATTTTATACTAAAAGTTTTAGTTTTTTAAATAATTTCAAATGAAAAAGTTTTTATTTTATATGCATATTTATTGTTTCATTGTTAAAAGGAATCTAGCTTGGCTTGGTTTGATATAGCTTTGTATGGTTTTTAACTGGTATATTTGGTTTTTATGTGAATAAAACCTCCACCAGATTTAATATCAAAACTACTTTACCTTTTTGCATAAAGTACTTTATTTATTACTATTTGCTGTTTATAAACAGCTGTTTACAGTATCGACCATTGGTATTTTATCGAATAAGTAAGAACACTTCCTATGCTGCAAGTGCAAGAAGTTTCTTTCGAAACGTTGCAAATTTCCATTAAAGAAAGGATCATTGTTCCTACAACCTGAATTTCTGGCATAATTTCATGTGTATTCTTTGTAGCACTCCTTGGAAACAATTCATAAGAGAGTTCTGTGATTCCTTTCCTGGAGGAGGAGAAAATCAAGGTGATAGCAGTAATGATTATAGTGAGAGCTGTGAAAAGAGCTGGCATGCCAGTGTGAAATGGAATGGAAAGAATTGCGACCTGAGTTGTAAACACAATAGGTTACTAAATTCAGCTTCAGTTTGCTTCAGTCTCAGGTGTGCATCTGGCTTGTACTCGTGTGATTACTATTCGAGATAGTAGTATGATGAGATGAGGAGTTCCTACCAAAACAAATATATTTTACAGCTTTCAATGTAAATGTTTCCTATTCATCATAGAAACTAACATGATTGAAATTGATAAAGATGCAGTGTTATTATTTGCTGTATTCTCTTGAAAGGAGAATGGATTAAGCAATAATAGATATAAATGTAATGCAATATTATGAAAAAGTAATCGAACTAGAGCACATGTAGACTAGACTTAGTGCTGTGAAACCTCATTCTCTAAGGAGCCTTCCTGGTTTTGTGACATTATTTGCTTAATTGTGTTTTGTGTAAAGTCAAGCCCTAAGGAGGTTTTTCAACTCTAATAGGATGTTGCATTTAACTCTCCTGCTCCTTTGTTCCAACGTGTATTGTTCTCTTGAACTATATGAGACCTCTTGTACATACGGGGTGTGTGTGCTTGCTTTCACTGCACTCGGGGTGGCAGTAGGAAAGCTGTGTAGCTGGTTTATGGTGACAGTGGGCTCTGGTAAGTACCATGTGCATCTTAGCCCTGGACAAACCCGGGGCTTGAACAAATGTAATCCTACCCCTGAAAATACCACACATCCACAGCATCAAGGTTTTACTGATTTGAGGAAATATAAATGCAGTGAAGGTTGATATTTAAATAATTATTAAATAAGAGCATGCACAGAATTTCTCCAATGTATTAGTTTCTGCATATGGCTCCTGTTTATTTGCAGACAAAACAAGAAATTAATCTAGACATTAATCTTCCTTAACATCTCATATTGATAAAGAAAGTCTACCTCCAAGTAGGAGGAGAAAAGCCGTCAGTTATAATCTCATCTCTTCAGCCTTAATGAAGGGACTTTTGTCCAAATATTAAAGCAAGCTACTGAAAGATGTATTTCCTGCTTAATTGAGGGGAAAGGGTTTATGAACTTGTAACTACAGAATCTTTGTAGTTAACAAAGTTATGCAGAAGATGGTAAGTACAGAAACTACATTTCATAAAAACCATACAGCTAGCTGCCATGAACAAAGAAAATAACTTTCAGAAAAGTAATTAATACTCTTTAACTGGCTTTCTTGATGAAACGCATCTGTAGGACCTCTATAAAAAGGCACTTTGAATATTATTATTATTTTCTTATGCGTCCCTTACCTGTCTACAGTGTCCACAGTGAGCCCTGGATTTAGATACTTAAGAACACGGTACCCCTTTTAGCTGTGCTAACTGCCCTTGTCCATGCTCTTAACCTACAAAGAGCATGCAAAAGAATTTGACCTGGTCTACTGTAACAGTGCTTCTCCAGGCTGAACATCCCCAGCTCTCAGCCTGTCCTCACAGGCCACATCCTTGTGGCCTTTCAGTAAATTCTAGCAGCAACACAAAACAAATGCTGTGTGCTTACGCTTTCAGCATGTTGCCAACAGCACTGCTCTCCCATGAACACAGAGCTTACCTAATACAAAGCACCAGTGCACCATCCACAGTACATTAATACCTTTTTTATTTTAAATCTTTAAAAGTCATTCCATCAATGCGATGAAGAGTTCTCTCAAGTAACTGAATTCTTAACAGAATGCCTGAAGTTGAAAATGTATTTTTTCCCAGCCCAAAACCAGAGGCCAGCCTTCCAAACAGCTTGTTTGGATACAAATTAAGCTCATCTCACAGAAATCCAATAAATGACTTTATTAAATATATTCTTTTCCTCTAAAATATAAATATCCACTATACTCTTATAAATGAGGAGTAGGTCCATATTTCATTTGTCTATCCCATCCAAATATGAATCAGTCCAAAATCTGAAAATGAAGAAATAGCATCTGTAATTATCATTATTTTTTCTATAAATATATATAATATGAATTTTCTTTGCAAACTGTTACTCACTTATACTTCATATAGTACTGAGCACCTTAGATTACATACTGTGTCATTTAATTGTTGGTACTAATATAGGAATTTGTAATATTTACAATGCACATACATGTTAGGTATAACATTCCAGTGATTTGTAAGTGTTAAAGGAATAAGGAAATAGTGCAGTATAGTTTACACACATATTTAACCTACCCCCCACAAGTTTTCACTTTAATCTCCACAACTTTTATAGAAGCCTGTGTCCAAATCTTTCAGTTACACCTTGGAACAGCAATGAAAATGTCCCAAATTGCTTTTTGAAGTCTTCACACAATGTTTTACTCGCTGATGTGGTGTGAGCTCGTATCGAAAGACGCAGACCCCACCGTACCGACTGCTCTCAGCTTCTCAGGAGGTATTCTCCCAGAAGTTTCCAAGCCAAAGGAGACCCAAGGAACTGCCACCTACAGTTATGTGAGCAGCAGCAGGGGCTAAAGGAGAAATGTCCATTTGGACAGTGTTGGTAAGTCATGTAGCATCTCATCTCCTACCCTGTGAATTTACACAAGGAATTACTAAGTTTTAAGTGCAAGTACCGTGACAGTAAAACTGAAGTCCACAGCTCAGTGAATGCTGGCTTTAGACTGGTGAGAGGTGCTGGGAGTGGGGCAGCTCCTCGTGTGGGTGGTTTATCTGTTGCTCTTTGTTCTTTCTGTATTTGTGAATTCAGCCCATCATCTTAATTTTTTAATCAGTCTTAATGATTAAGATACTTGTGGAAACCACCATGAACTAATTCCTATGCTGTGATTAACCAGCATGATTTATGGTTAACTCTCAAGACTTAGCTTAAAAACAACATGGAACCAAACTGTGTTTTTTATTTTCCTCTTTGCCAGCCAAGTGATGCCAAGTTGAAACTTACATGCTTTCTCAAGACTAAAAGAAGTGTTGTGATACAAGAGCACTTCCACAGACTCTGGATTCATTATTTCCTGTACAGTTCCTGTTCTTCAAAATATGAATTTAGGGAAAAACTCTTTTAATATCAAACAAAATCCCTCCCCTCTGTGAACCAGTTCTGGTTACAAAGCAAGAGCAACATAAATTCCATCCCTGTTCTGCTGCTCTCCCTTCCCACCCAACCATACTAAGCCAATTTAGTAGTTCCAAGTGCAGGCTGTGTACATCTTATCTCCTCTGATGATGGTCACTGTTCCTGTCTGCTGCCTGCTTTGCACCCCATATAACTGAACTAGGCTGAAAGTGAATTGTGTGTTTTGACTTAATACAGTAGTTGTGTTGCAAAACAGGAACTAGTAAGTTATGAATGTGGAGGTGAGTGTCCTACGTTTCACCAGCAGAAATAAATCTGGAGTTGCCGAGTCATGGTCATATCAGCAGTTCCATATTAAGGCTTTTCTGGCATTGCAGCTCATCTTCTCATCCTGGTGTGTTTCCTCACTGTTGTGGAGCTGCTTGAGTAACTGATATAATCGAGGAAACCCTCAAAAAAAAAATCAAGTCTTCCTCCTCCACATTTGTTCTTCAACGAAGAAAGACCACACAACCAGCCTTGCCCAAGCTGAGGGGGTGACACAGTAGGGATAGGAGGACAAGAAGCTTAGCATAGCTTTCTGTTGGAAAACTACTATGGCAATGTGCTGGCACAAGTTTAGGTCATGCTTCAACATCAATTCAGGTAACTTCCACTTAAGCCAGGGGCCCAGGGAGCTGGAACTCATTAAACCATTCTGGGAAGTCACTATAAAAATACATCCTGGGCGGCCATCAAGAAATGATGCTCCTAGCTATGCTTTACCTGACACTTGTCTCTCAACGCATCGCTACAGCTAGTCCTGTTTTGGGAATGTACACAAAAGAGTCTGTAAGTGGTGCACAGGTTAGCCAGGAACAATATTTTACTTTTGGGTGATGGGACAATCTTGTTTAGAGAACTTTGACCTGACCAACATTGAGCTTGCATCACAACCAACACCTGCTCTTGTCTGCTTAGCCCTTTACTTATTCTATATAAACAAGTACATTGAAATAGGCACAATTTATGATTCTGGAACATTTACATATATGGTACTACACGCTTCTACTGTCTCATATGGGATTTTTAAATCCCATTATTTACAATGAAATCCACCATTTTCCTTGTCATGCCATCTCTTTAGCTGATCAAAATGAAACCGGGGCCTTGGAAGACTGCAGACACAACCAAGGCCTGGTACTGAGCCCCAAGCTGGTGTATGCCACTGGCTAGTACAGGTTGCTGCTGTTGACTGTACTTCAGATTAGCATGGTTACTCCGTCTCTCCTTGATGAAACAGATGTATCCCACTTATGCCACCAAGCCAAGTCTTGTGATCTTTGCTGACAGGAAGGAATGAATGATGAACACAATTGGTTTTGGACAGGAATGAAGGTCCAGTTGCTGAAAGTACAGAAAGAAATGAAGTTGAGAATGATCAGATTAGATTAGATTACAGCTCAAATAACCCATCATTTATGGAGTAGTTGATGAGGTGCTGCCTGGTATTTTGAACAGGCTTCTATTAATCACAACCCTTTATTATAACATATGGTCTTTCCTTTGCATACAGCTGCAAATATTTATTTTACTAAAAGTAAGACACATTTTGAGAGCAGATGAGATCCTGGTGCCTCTGGGCTTGCATCCACCTGGGTAAACAGCATAAAACTCAGTCAGATGCTGCAAGCACTCCTCCAAGAGATTCAACCCCTCCATCATTTCCGGCTGTTTCTGACCAGAGATGGTGGTGGGACTGCTGTGGCCAATACCCAGTACAGCTGCTGTTGGGCACAGGCTGAAGCAGGATACTGAACCTTCAGCTGATGCTGCAGAGTTGCTCCTCTGTTCACACAGGAAGACTGAATGGAGACTTTATTTTTTCCCCATAGTCATGGTTCATATGATCTCACCACTGCTTGCTGAGCAAAGCATGACAGACTTGTCATGGACAGCAAGTTAAACAGTAGACTCATATCAAAACAAACCAGATTTGCCTTTCCACCAGCCATGTATCAACTTCATTAAGAGTTAGTGAGAAATTTCCTTTTGAAAGCCTGACAATAAGCAGTTCAGAGTATATGTTAACAATGATGACATGAAGAACTAAGCACTCAGGAACTGCTAAAAAATTTGGCAGGAAAGACCATGTTTACATGCATAATTTATGGTATGTAAACTGCTTGTAGGAATAAGCACCTTATTCTTCGGGATTGTGACAACTAATTTAGCAGCTTAAGCAGACAGTTTGGCACTACATTTGTAGTCTTTGATTTTTTTTCAGCAACTAGATGTTCAAAAATAAACACGGCTTGTTATAACATAAAGTCCCTATGTGTATGTTGGAATTAATAATAATATCTCATTCTTAAGTTCTTCCACCCACAATCACATAAAAAGTGCAATGGATACAGGCAAAAATTCTAACATTTGGCTATTTGGAAATAAAATTTATTCTTAAATATAAGAAATCTTTCATCTGGCTTCACATGTTTTTACCATTTTATCTCTCTTTTTAGTTTATCTCCTAAAGCCACACCTACATGCTGTACTAGAAAGCACGATACTGGTACTGGAACTTGGTACTGGCCAGCTGTTACTAGAACAGACCAGAAGAGCACAGAATAGAACATTTCAGGTGGAAGGGGTGTACAACAATCATCTAGTCCATCTTCCATTAGCGCTTCTCCACCCCACAGCGTGAAGGACCACCAAAGGTAATGTGTATCCCTTTGCTAAATGCAATACTTACAATTTCTCCATCCTTTCCTCCAAAGTCTAAATAAAGCATCCTTATCCCATCATCCGAGGACATTTTCAGTTTTTCATAGGGATATTGTGCAATTGTCTTAGAGAAGGCACCATCTTGTGGTTCAGTTGTAAGAGAGAATCCATGTTCATAATGGATGGTCAAGCGGCACTCCTGGCTTTTGTATGTGCAAGCTGGAGAAGAAACAAAATTTAGTCTGTAATGGTTTTAAAAGCAACAAAGTCCATTTGGCTGCAGATATTTGCATCTTAAATTCAGTCTTAACATTATCTTGTGGAAACCTTTCCTAAAGCTGGGCTTTAACTGTAAACCTTTAGACTTGAAAAAACAATGGTAATCTTTCTGTTGTGCAAGGTCCAAGCAAGCTTTGTTAGTGATGGTGTAAACACACAGACTAGAACTGTCCTTGCCAGTAGCAGTCCTGATGTCAGTCCTTTCAACTATTATTTGCTGCATTCTTTATCTTCCTGCATACATCTACATGCTGACCCCAAGCTAATCTAGTGAAATTTAAGAAGGCTCAGGCTGGCGTTGCCTCCTCCCATACCTTGACAAAATCACAGCTACTATTCTTACATCTGACAGACATAGCCAAAACCAACGAATGTGGCACACAACACATGAGACAATTAGAAGCTGTAAAGGGTTTCCCTGAAGTATTTCGACAAAGATAAAGACACTCCTGAGGCCTCATTAATGTCGTCGTAATTGAAAAAGGGCCCAGATAATTGTATATAATAGCTACTGCAGCAGAAAGTCTGCTTCTTCCCCTCAGCTCAGCAACACAGGCCGTGATCCAAGTTAAAAAATGAAGAGTTTAGGTCTTCACATCGCAAATTCTCTTTTCCACCACTTTCCTGTGAACAATTCTGCCAAGAACGGTCCTTTGCACTTGCATAAAAACACCACAATAAAAGAAGGAGCTGATGCCTTCCTCCTGCTTTTGGAAAGAAAGGAACCCATGTCTCTGTGCTGAGGAGATGGACATGCCCTCAAGGTGGTTCCCACTGAACACTGGTTGGTTTCTATGTCGGAGGGGCCTGGCAGCATAGAGGAGGGTGCCTCATGCTCAGCAGCATGTGGCTGTACTTGATGGCTTCATGAAATCAGAGCTGTCCTTTGTCACAGAATGGATCTGTGCTTTAGCTCCTGCTCTCACATTTTTTGGCAATGAATGGCAATAATGCTCAACTTTAACAGCCCCATCACTTGTAGGCCTAGGACTCCCAAATCATGGGGACACTCAAGAGAAAGGCCCAGCCTCAAAGCCCCAGAGCCATCCAACCCAGGCTAGCACTACCTGGCCAAATAGGGCATGACTAGACTACTTCTATTCCAGTTCACTCTGCATGTATAGAGTGCTGAGAAGTGACATGCTGGTGCTCAGGGTCAGAAATGGGCAGCTGTCAAAATACGGCTATTGGACTGGTTTGTATTTTTTCACTTTTCTCAAGTGTGCAGAGCTGGGTAAATACAATGTTTGAGAATGTGCCAGAAACCAAGGGGACAGTGTTTTAAACACACAGAATCCTAAATATGAAGTTTTTTAAATGAATCACCTCTAGCAGAAGTACCCATGAGTGTCATGAGGACGTGTGGAGATGCGGCACTGCAGATGTTACTCACATGTGGTGATTTCCGTGATGAGCTCTGCAGAGTTGTGGCAGCCCTGCACGACACTCCTTGTCCACAGTGAGAGGTCTCGGCTAGTCTCCGTCCTGAACAGATGGGTTTCTATCCCTTGCCTTGTACCGGTACGGGTTGCAAAAGATAAATCCATCCCTGACTGCGGTGAGCCTTTTCCTGGGCCAGAATGGACCAATCTGCAATCAGATGTGAGAACACAAGTGAATTATAACACTGACACAGAACACTGCTCCTAAATCCACACCTGAGCACAGCTCTGCTCTGTGTGTTCCTAAGCTGAGAGCATGAGAACACATATCTCCTTTGTATTTGAGCCTGGAAAGTGACTCCTAGTGACACTCAGAACAGTGACAGTGCAAGGTAGCGAGTACAAAAGCAAGGAGTGTTCCAGAATTTCCCAATGAATTGTACAAAACACCACTTCAGATGAGGAACTGACAGAAGTCACTGACTGCCCTGTGGTGTGGGGTTTGGTCCACAGATACAAGTGTTCGCTCAGATGTGGCAGCTGAATCCAACTTTCACTGTCACGCAGCATTCGCCATGAAGCTTAAACATCTGCAGGCAAACTCAGTGATAAATGCTGATGGATGAAGTAACATGTTCTGTAAAACGCACAGATGCCTAAGTACTGTCTTGTGCATACTCTTCCTATAAGGAATATGTAAAATGCAAGATGTTGCAGCTACTTGTAATCTGAAATTGTCTTCCATTTTGCAGCAACTAACATTTTTTACTTGGCATCAACAGCTGATCTCCTGTGACCAGGAAAGGTTCATTCATCTGGGCAAACACTAAATTGCAGGGAATATTTTTGAGTGAGAAAATTAATACCTCAGAATATTTAATTCTTCTTTAAGCCGCCCTTTTGTGCTGTTTTTTCCCCTGCAGAAGTGTGGACAGTGAATACAGAATTCACTCAGGGACATGACACTGATTCAGTTGAAAACATAATCCAGAGGAGCTCATCGGTCTTTGAGGTCCAGAGACTGACCCTCAGAGGGAGTCACAAAATAAATTCTTCTGAAAAGCTTATTTCTGTCTTGTGCCTTCTGTTTCTTTTTCTATAGGCAATCCGTATATTTCATGTGAGACTATAAAGTAAGTATGTAGCATAGTAGTAGAATACTTGTGCTGAAGGATGAAACATCAGATTATACTAATCATCTATGGCATGCTAATTCACCCTCAAGCTATTGTTTTGCATCTGGAAGAATAGTTGCCTTTAGCTGATACTCCAGAACTATGCCATCAAACAGAGATGTTTTAATATGAAAAAAACAGAAAGGAAAGAAGCAGCACGACTTTAGCTGTTATTGTGACACTAACCATAGGGCATCTGGAATTTTCCCAATTCCCTGCAGTCCATGTTGGCATCTGGGATGCGCATTATGCCAGACAGATGTGTTCCTCTTTCATACCCCTTTAGAAGGTTTGCAAAATTTGTTCACACTCAGGTTTATGGTAAATTTCTTTGCATTTTCAACATCTGCCTTGATTTCATAGTCCCACAAAGCCACGGGGCGTGAGATAAGGAGTATCCTTGCTCAGCCCTGCCCTGCACCGTGACTGGGCAGGAAAGCCTCTTTCCAGAGAGGCACCACTGCCCTTCCCAAATGCTTTTCCCCCTCTAGAAGGGCTGCGTTAACACCCCGCTCAGTTTTGGTACTGAAGGCCTCCATCTGCAGGTTTTGTAACTGTAACTCGCTCTCATTTGGCATGAGGAGTGGAAGCTGTGAGGGGAAGCTGCATCTTGGTAAATAAGGCAGGGGACTGGGATCTGAAATCTCCAGGCCAGTCACCCTAGTGCAGGCAGAGCCAGCATGCTCAAGCTGCCTTCTGCTGCTGGGGGTGACTGCAGGGCAGCAGCCTGGGAAATCACATCAAGTTTATCACTACAAATAAACCTATTCCAGCTTCTGCCTGTGTCACCCCCTCTCCTTTATACAGTGCTCATCAGCAGTGCTAACAATTGTTTTCTAATACTTATGATACTGTGAGACAGACAGACGGTTCCAGTGTTTTAGTTCCCTTCAAATCCACCCCCCAAGCTCCCTTACATCTTCACGCTTTCTCCAAAGCACTGCCATTGTAGGTTTTTCAGCACAGGGATAGAATGAAGATGTACTTTACAAATAAAAATGCGTGGACATATCCAACATGAACATTATTTCTTGCCTGCCTTCCCATTTGCATCATTTAGGGTCACTATTTAAAAAGACTATTCTGTCATACATCTCCAGACTGTGCTTTGGAACATGCAGTTAAACATGCCCTAGACAAATATGCAGGGGAACATTTGATAGTATTTATGTACCAGCTGTCGGTACTGATGTATTCGGGTACAGGTCAAAGGATTCCAAAGCTATAATAAAGTTGCATTCATGTAAGCTGCTTCATTTACATAAACAATATTTCACCCTAAAGACCACAAAAAAAAACCTTAAAAGGCAAAAAAAAAAATAAAAATTGAAACTTCACAGAAGAGTTCCCTTTATCCCTGCCTCCCATCACTCTGATCACAGCAGAGGTTGTGTGCAGGGAGGGCTGCCTCTGGTACTATTCACCTGCGGTCCATGAAGGTTACTCTGCTCTGTGGAAGTTTATGGGATGTCTCCTGTATGCAGGAGCCCGAACACCCCTTCCCAGAGCAGCCAGAGCCGCAAGAGGGCAGGAGAAGGTTGGTCATCACAATCAAGTCTGCAAAGAGCACAGATAACAGGCAGCGGCTGTAAAATGCAACTCTCAGCATACTCCAGGGGGCCAGGGAGACAGTTCCAATCTTTCGTCTTCCTTGTCTCTCTATGTTTTAGGGACTCTTTTAGTATTATTCCTTGCAGTGGCGTGATAGCAAGACGGGTACGTGAAGTGCTGGGTGAGATGCACCGCAACCTGCTTTTCATCCAACACTGTGGAAAGTTTCAACCAGTTACTGCAACAGCAAAATCTAATGGCCTCTTCAAAAAGGACAGTGAAAGCAGCACTGACATTCAAAGCAAGTGTTCAGCTGCTCATTCAAGATTTATTTCAGAAGAGCCCACGATACAAGCACTGACAGTCTGAAGCTCTGCCCTGTGTGCCACTATCGTCTGACCTTTCTTATGCTGAAACCACTCCTTAAACTGGCTTAGCATTTGAAACCTGCTCTGGAATGTCTGCACTCTGGAAACCTATGATCTCACTGAGTTCTGCATGGAGGCAGCTACAACCACCCTCACTGCCTCGGGAAGAAGAGCAGAGAACTTGCACAGCACCTTATACACCTTCCTGGGGTGCTGGGGGCCCCAGTGCTCTCCACCTTCCCCTCTGCCAGCTTGCACAGATGACTGATCAGTGCTGAAGCTCCTTCCCCATCTTCCCATGGCATAAACCATCAAACTGCTTTAATACTTTCTGGTTACAGACCTCAGCTTTACACAAAAGCTACTTACCTGATCTTTAATCAGAGTCCAACACAGGCTTGCCTTCTTTTTCCCCTTTTATTTCATATCTGGCTATGATAGATAACGGAATTCGATTGCAGACATTTAAGATGTAATTACTTGATCCCTATTCCCAAGCTAGAGGGAGTCACTGTTATTCAGGCATAAAGAAACACTGAAACAGGGATTATGACAGAAAGGTCCTAGGAGTCAGGGCTGTGAGCCAGCTACTATGCCTCCCAGAGAAGAGATTTAAAGAAACAACTTAATCTGATCTCAGTTTTCTGTGAGCTATTACTCATATTCTACCTAAAGCTCTGAAAGACTGTCTGGAAAGTATTTTTTGGTCTTAACAGCATCCATAGGTTGAAGGCAAAGTTACCAACAAACAAAAAGGACATGCTGAAATTCTGCTGCTAAAATAGTCTAAGAAGATCGTAATCCTACTGCTTTCCAATTTTCTCTGCTCACTATGTCCTGGGTAGATTAAGCATGACTCTCTCTACGGTATCTGGCACTGAAGTTTTCCAGTTTCAGCAGCTTTTCAGATATGCATTAGCTAAGCAAAAATGTTTTCCCAAGGACTCATAAAAATCTGAAGGAGGGGAGCAGCCAAGATTACAACATGTGGTCTGCAAACTTTCCAGGTGAAAAGTTCCAAATTGCACTGATCAATGTACAGAGGGGATTAAAAAACCTGTCACGAGGAGGGTAATCACTGACCGAGCGTGAACACAGCAGTCGATACCAAAAGCAATCCCTGTGTATGTCTCTTTTCTTTTCTTGTATAACTGTACTCAGCATGACAGATCATAAAAGCAGGATCCTGCAGGGTTTTAATCACAATCATCCAAACCAAAAGGTGTAATAATTTGGGGAATCGGTCAATTTATGTATTCTGCTCACATTGGGGATTCATGTATTTATATGAATTTATCAGATTGCGACTCCATTCTGAATGTCAGGTTCTGTATATGTGCTGTCTTTTTACACAAGTGTTAAATTCACAGTGATATTAGTAGGAAATTACAGAGATGGGGCTGGAATGGTTCTCCAGATGACATATGGTGCATCCCCCTTCCCAGAGCATGAACACACTCCTGAGGGTTACCCATCCTTCAAAGTCCCCACTGATGAGGATTGTACACCTTTCCTAGGCAATCTAATCCAGTACCTCACCTGCACACCAAATTTTTCCCATGACATACCCCAGACCTCCCCTGCCACAATGGGGCACAGCATTTCACTGTTAGCATAGTAGCTGACCATGCCCTGTTGTATTCTGGAGGGACTTGGTGAATATGCTCTCCTGTCTCCCTTGTGTCTCATTTTCATTCTTGAAAACCATCTACATGTTTTCCATGGACTTCTATAAATGGATAATGTTTCTTAAGTATTCCCTACTTATAGTGATTTCTGGGTCTTACATTTGCATCGATTTCTTCTAGACCTTCCACAGTTAACTGACATCTTTTTGGAAGCCTCCCATGAAAGCGGTTTATCATCACCTGAGGCTTTACTCATACTCTGCAGTTGGGTATGATACTACATCTGCCCAACACGTAGCACTTCTGCTAACCCCGAGATGATTTGTCTTTGTCTTCCCCTCTCAAAAACAGAACACCACAGATTTAAGCAATTCTGCCACATTGCCCAGATACTTCCTGGCACAGCAACCACTTTGTTGCTTATTTTCCACCCCAAACCAGCACAGCTGATTACTCCCCAGCACTGAACTTTGCAGCTCTCCTTTCTGAATCTCATCCTGTGTTTATGACAGACCGTCTTTTAAGTCTTTAAAGACCCTTCTCATTCTGCTCCAGCCTGAAGGCTGAAGCTCCTCCACTTACAAGGGAATGCCATCAGACAGGGAGGTGACTATCCCCACCCAAGGCAAGCCAGTTACAATCAAACCTGAACACCTGAGAGAAACTAATTAACGGGCCCTCCAAGACAAGGACTTGGATTGTTTGATGGGGTAAGTTGCTGGTCCCTGCTGGCCAGGGCTGGCAATGTCCACCAAAGAGCTGCCTTTACATGTGAGAACATGTGGGCAGGAAGGGGCAGGGTGCTCTGCAGGATCTCCAGTCACTTCAAGGAGGAGGATTTGGGTCCATGTACAAATTACACCCCAAAGCAGTAGGGAGAGACACATCACCTTTTGCTGGGGATCTCTTGTTTCACAAACTCTAAGGCTCAATGACAGACCTGGACACAGCCTCTGGTCCCAGTGCCTTGCCCAGTTGTCATCTGGAGCTGTCAACCTTCACCACCACACCACGTGGCAGGCTGCAAGCTGCAAAGCTTGGGGCTCTCACCTCAAGTGACAGAAACAAAGGATGAGTCAGAAGCTGGCTTCCCAGAAAGCTCCATCATGTGTAGGTAGGCTGAGATAAAACAACCATCTGTGTAATTCACTGAGGGTTTTTTGGTTTTTTACTATAATGATTTAGCAGCAAAGCCTCAGTTCATTTGGAGAGAGAACTAAGAGGCCAAGAACAAAAATTAACTAATGAGAGTGCAATAAGAGACCCACTGCTTTTGACCTTGTGAAACCAGCGCTTCTGAAAGAGAACTCATTGAAAATGGCACAATAGAGGCCTGTAGCGTGGCCAACACAATGGAAGAGCAGCTCTTTCTCAAGCCCTCTGACCATATTGGCAGAGGAACGCGATTAAGATTCATGTCAAGAAGCACGGACAGTTTCCACTGCATAAAGATAACCATGGGAAAGCTCTCTCTGAATTAGTGTTGATGGATACCTTGCAGATGGCTAGTTCCAACCTAGATTCAAGAATGAGTCTTCCAAGTGCACCATTTGAAGCTAAAAATGCCAGGAATTCATTTGCTAGAGCAAGAACTGAAGCTGTGTTGAAATTAAGCATCTCCATCATGAGTGTGATCCCCAGAAGCCCCAGACTGGTGCTGCAGAACTGACACACCAGCAGGTCCAACTCAGGGCAACAATTTCACCTTTTCCAGCCTGGAGGAGCAGCTGAGTGCTTCTGCCAAGCCCTCAGGTCTGAACACTGAGACAGTCATCTCAGGAGATAGAGCTCTTGGCTTTTTCAGCACTCCTGCTTCTGCATCTGGGACAAACAGCCTCATCCATAACCCTTCTGGTGTGCTTCTGGCCATCACCCTTGGCCAGAACTTGAAATGGAGAAGAGAGGAGTTCAGCTGAGCACATTGGCCCATTGAAGAATAATCTGCTTCTCAAACCACGGCATTCCAACTGTGATATACAGCTATATACAAGCTGTTCCTGGCTGACTAAGCTGTTCCCACCACTCTTGAAGCAGTTGTAACAAAAAACAGCACAGGTACCTGGTGGCTAGCAGGGGGTAGGTATGCAGAGGGCTGAACCAAGCTTCCTTCATCCGTGGCATGCTCTCATATATTAAGAGGTCCTTCTCTGTCAAGACCACTAACACTGGCTTCCAGTGCTTCTCGTTGTCCCCTGGCACCTGAAAAAGAGCAAGAGTCAGTAAGACACGAGGTAAAGCGACCATCGCACAATATGAACGTTTCGAGTCCTGGGTGAGATAATGAACAAAAGAGAGTTTTACTTTGGCTTTTTGACATCTCCCACTGAATTTATAACCAGCTGCAGCAGAACGGGAGGAAAGTGCAATGACATCTGCTGTTCTACAGCTCTTGCAGCCTTCCCTTACTATAGGCTACTCCTTAAATGTAGTAGTGTAAGAACCATCGAGACAGAGCTGGCTGTTATGTAGCTGTGGTATGCATGAAAGGACCTTAAATGTATATTTATAATGTGTGCCATTCATTTGTTGCTGGCACCTTAACCTGAGTGCTGCACAGTGCTGCTGCTGTTTCTGTTTTCATGGGTAAAAAAAGCTGCAATAAAGTTAACTAAGAAGAATGTCAGGTAGTTAAATATAGTGGTTTAGGAGCTTTTTCCTCAGCAGTTCATGATTTTCATTGCTTCTTTTTCCTTCATACCGTTCTTTCAGTTTTACAATTGCCAATTTATAAAAAGATCCAAGTTAAACAAGGTGTTGATCTGAAGCATTTACTCAGTGATAGCTCTGCATCCACATTTCAAACCCATCTGCAGAAGCTGTCTAAAGACTGCAGCATCAGAGACCTTTACTGGCTGCAGGATCCAGATGTGGAATTGTACTTTGCAGGTTAGACATGTGGTAGTCTGCATGGCTACACAATTAGCATTATGGGGACCAAGCATAAATCCTGGATTTCAATTATTCTACTCTGGCAGCGTAGAAGTGTCTTAAAATAGATGGGAATATTAAGGGCCTTAGTTTCAAATACGATGAAGCTTGTCTTTCATAGACAAATTCATCATTTTCCTGCTGGAGCCATGCTTTCAAACCCCAATGTCTTGCCTGAGTACTAAAGGGAATGAAACAAATGCTGGCATTCACCAGAGAATCTGGTTGCCTACACGAGTCTTTCATTAAGACCTTCTCCACAAAAGAGAAGTGGTTGTCTCTGTGTTATGGTTGATGCCAGCTTAGTTGCCACAGGCATGTGTCACTGGGCACATCGCTGGGTGGAGAAACATATTAGAAGGCTCAGTCAAAGATTGGCCAGGCTTGGGAGTGGCACAGCCAGGAATGGTGATTCAGATCCTTAAGTGCGATATTTCTTAAGTGATGGATTCAGACTGAGAACCACATTTGAAACACTTGTATTTTATAAGAAGAGTACCACGAAGTTCTAAGCTTCTAAGGACTTTCAAGACAGTTGTAGACAGCTTCACACCAGAACACTAATGCCCAAAGCAGATCTTAAACTAAGATTTTTGGCTTGCATAATCTCTAAGAGGTATTTTTCCTTCTCACTTAAGCTTTTCTAATAGTCATATTCCTGTTTACAGTATTATTTGTTCACTGGCTGTTCATGTCTCTGCATTAATCAACTTAAAGTCATAAACAGTTCATCCTTTTCATTTCTTCAGAAGTGTTAATACTTACTTACAATTTCCTTGTGGTGGCAATTTTCTTGAAGTTCAATCTTTCATTTTCAAATAAGGTCAAATAAAGAAGCCACATAATTAACACACCTATTAATACACTCCAAAAAGAATGTAAAATCCAGCGTTCTCACAGCTAATGTACCATAGAAATCTTCACATGAGCAAAAAAGCATCCTCAGGTTCTTAATTCCAGTTAACTACAGTTAACACCCCAGTTCCTAGCATGGGAATGTAGAAAGAAATGCTGCAGTTAATGTTAACATTTAATAAATATTATGGTTAATGTTAGCATCTAGTTTTTGAGCAGCTGCCTAGTTAGAAAGAGTTTTAGTAGATACTTTTGAAGATTTCCAGGGAAGAAAAATGAATATGAATACGAAATCTCTCATAGGATGAAAAGCAGGACGTTCAGATCCATGATCTGGAGGCATAAGTAGGCAGTGTACTGGGATGTTACTTCTTATTTTTCAGTTTTGTGGCCACAAGCAATTCCCAAGTGGGAAGCTGCTCATTGCTTTTCCACAGAACCATCCTGCCTGTGTAGCATTTTCAATCACAGGCTTTGCTAGTAGGTGGCTGCTCAGTCAGCTGTGACTCCAGAAACTTTGGGAAACACTGTTCCCTGTAAAGCAACCACAAGAAAGGGAATAAAACTTTGCCAGCTGGTCCCAAAACTATTTGTTGGACAGGCATAAATATTAGGAGCCACAATTTCCAGTTTATCCTGTGGTTGCCACCTGCACAGCAGAGCCCACAGCTTTGCCCCTCTCCTTCCCAGTAGCAGCATGACTACAGAGATGTGGCACGGCCATAAGGTGTTGAAGATTTTCTCAAGTGACCTTATACTACCTCTCCTTGTAGGATGTACCCCCTGTTTATAGGGTGTATACTGGGAAGGGGAGGGAGAAGAAAGATGTTTGCCTGATGGAAAGCCCTCTCCAGTAAGAACGACCATGCAATACACACACTTTTAAACATGTTTTTAAAACTATGCTGGGACCATGGCTGTCTTACTGCTGAGGAATGCTGGTGTAAGCAATACTGCTGCTATTTCAGACCTGAAGAAGGATTTGTGTGCCTGAAAGCTTGTCTGTTTTCTTTCCAAATGTAACAGCTGACCTAATAAAAGGCACCACTTTCCCTTAAACCCCCTGAATTGCATTACTGTTCCCTGGTTTTGCTGGGGCTTGGATCAGGCTTTAACAGCCGATGTTGTGCTGTTCAACAGGCAGTTGACACTGCTGGAAGGTGTCAAGAGAACATGCTGTCCTGTAAATGGTAATAGCAAATCTTACAAAGGAAGAAAAGAGGCTGCAAATATACTGTTAGCCTACAGGGCACATTCAGAACAAGTCAGCATGGGAAATTAATCCAGCTCAAGCAAGTGCCATAACAAGCACAAGTGTAATAGCAAATTATAAAATAAAGCAAAAAACATACTGCTTACAGGCACCTAAGTTAAGGATTTGTTCAAGTTTTAAAGGTTTTATAACTGGACTTATCATAAAGATAATAGGAAATACTTCTGTAAGTATTTAAGTATCATTTGAGATGCTGGGAAGGGACTCTTCATTAGGGACTGTAGTGATAGGACAAGGGGTAGTGGGTTCAAACTTAAACAGGGGAAGTTTAGATTGGGTATAAGGAGGAAATTCTTTACTGTGAGGATCGTGAGGCACTGGCATGGGCTGCCCAGGGAAGCTGGGAATGCTGCACCCCTGGCAGTGTTCAAGGCCAGGTTGGACAGAACCTTGGGTGACATGGTTTAGTGTGAGGTATCCCTGCCCATGGCAGGGGGGTTGGAACTAGATGATCTTAAGGTCCTTTCCAACCCTAACTATTCTATGATTCTATACATTCTAGACAATGGTTAGGGCCAGTTTCTTAGCCAGAATTTTGCAGAATTCTGGCACTTGCACTACAGTTTCTTCGCTCTGGTTCCTGTACATGTACAATCTAGAGTGCACTGATCTGTGCTGCAGACAAGTAAGATTACCATTCACTCCAAAAACTTTTCAATGTTAAACCTTTTTCAAAGTCAAAAATGTTACCTCAAATATGATGAAGTAGAGAAACAAAAGTCAGCACTCCTCAGATCTCCCACTACAATAAAATGCACCAGCACTGTTCAGGTAACTCTAAGCAACAAGTACCAGTGTCTTTCTCCATGCTCTGCTCATCTCAGCTGAGGTCACTGCTTATGTTCCCAGGTGAAATTCCATTTCAAGTCAATGAAGCTGTAAATGTTTATACAAGAAGCAAACTTGGTTTTTTTTTCCTTTCCTAGACAGACTATGCCTATAGATCAAAGTCTTCAAGTACGAACCTGAAAAGGGAGAACAGAGTCTAACAAAAAATCGCCAAGTGCAGTGAAGCATCCTTTCTGCTACTTGCAAACCCCTTTGCTCCTCATATACTCACCCCTGAAAGTGCAAATCCCACTTTTTCCCATATGCACCTCTCTGGTTTACCTTACCAAATCCAGAAATCTTTTTATGTGCATCAGGGATGAAATCTAACTTATCTGAGTTTGAGAACGTGATGGCACCAGTGGAGACGTGTGTTCACATCTTGCTCGGCCTCTGCAAAGTCAGTCTAAAGGATTTGCTTTTCTACATGGACATATGGCAGGAACAGACATAAATGTGATGGTGGACATAAGTGTACAAGGATGGCTGTTGTAGTTCAGCAGCTACATAGAGATATGTCCATCACCTTTGTCTGATACAGAAGCAAAAGTGTTTTTGATTCACACAGTATGAAGACACCACAGAACCCACGACACCAAGGATGCGCCTGAGCTCTGGTTGCTGCTGGGTGCCTTTTCAGTGGTGGGGCAGCATCGCTCCAAGCATTTTTAGGGTGGGATCCACGGTCTGAAGGACAGACTGTAAATAAGGATGTAGCAAGCTCAGTGCTACCTGTAGGACTGACTGCTCCTGCTGGTTTTCTGGCAACCGCTCACGTGCTTAAGGCCACTGCTTGCAGTGTACCCTTAAAGAGTGACTCCTCTGATACATAGCAAACATTTTAAAGAGGAGCCAGCTTGTTTTTCCTGCAGCCAATGGGAACCCCTGGCCCCTTTGATGGGTGCCACAGCTTCCAGATCTTTAATGATTTTCACACATAATTACTTGCTGTAGAGACAATGGGCATCTCAGTGGAGAAAAATCCTTTTACAGAGGGTTTGGCCCTTTGCTCTTTCTTCTGTCAGGTCTCCTTTTCATAAGGTTTTTCTCTGAATTTCAGTTACTCACCTACTTCAGGCTGCCAGGGATGGATGAAAGAATACTTTTAATCTATGAGGCTCGTTGATAATTCAATTAGAGGCCTTGGTGTACTCTGAAAAGCTGTTTTATATTTTCATTAACTCAAAAGGGACATTCCAATTACATTCCTTGTTTAGTAAACAAATTGTACATTGCCAGCAGGTCACCACAGCAAGTATCCAAAAGGTGGCTTTTCAGAGAACCACTGTGAGGGTAGCAAGGTTACACTTACAGT